TAAATGTCCATGTACCATTAAAGTCACAATGAAACAGTGAAAAAGAATTTATAAAAACAAAGAAAAGAAAAAAGTCTTCATGAAAATTTAAAGAATTCTTTCCATTGGAATTCAAAATAGTCTCAACTTCTCAGCATTTTTTGGTGGGGTCTTCTGGAGTGTGATGTTCCACCCTCTAGATTGCTGGAGTGAGAGAGGTAGAGTCCCACAGGTGGAGTTCCTGGAGGTAGGGTTTTAGGCTTAGGCAGGCTCCAGGCTCTTTGATGAATGCTAATTGGTCTAAAGATTTAAATCAGCACACCTCCAATGCCCAGTTTTGCTCCACACTGGAACACTATACCCCAGGGATCTCACCTGGGTTCCACTTGTGTGGTGGGGGAGCCAATTTTTAGTCCCCTGTGTCACCTGCAGACCCCAAGTTTCCTGGTCTTGGGTTAACTTCAAAAATTTCTCATGCCCCCTACCCTTCTGAATTCCTGGCCAAATGTGACTCTCCCAGCTGGATTGGAGGGTGAGGGGGAAAGCTGGGTGGGTTTCCTCCATCAGTTGTCCCCTGTATAAACCTTTCTCCATGTTTGATTTTCTTCTGGTTACTTAAGCACACTCTATGTCACACATAGTGTGTATTACTGAGCCTGTATTTTGGGCCAAACTTGGGTTTGCTAGGAATTGGCTTCCTCAGTTGCTAGACCTCTTGAAGAAGCTGCAAAATGGTTCTTTCCTTTGTCCTCTGAATGCTACCTGGAGAGATGGCAGCTTCTTTCCCCACACAAATATCTTGCAGAGAGTTCTTCGGGTTTGTTGAGCAATCTCTTCGGTCTCTAAATGTTCCAAACCCAGGCATACCTCAGGCCTCCCAAAAATGCCAGGTTCTTTACTTCCCTTTTCTCTCTACTATGCTCATGGATGGACCTCTCTATCTGGAGCTTCTGACAGGGCTGTGGCAGCACCTATGCCAGTGGGGATTTTTTTCCTTATTTTATTATATCCAACATCCTGTGTCCCATGTCTGCTTTGAATGTTCAGTTTTAGGTTTGAATAAAGTCCCTCCCTTCCTTTTTTTTTTTTTTTTTTTTTTTTGTTCACCCACCTTGCAGAGAAGCTGCATGTCTGCTTTCTTGGTTTCATGCCACAGAGCAGCCAGGAACACGACCTCCTCTATTCTGCCATCTTGGAACTCTTCCCAAGCCCCCCCTTTTTTTTTTAATGTTTTATTTTCTCTTGCTAAGTCTTTAGGGCCTCATTGAATTGCTGACATTGCAATTGAATTTGCAATCCTCCTGCCTCAGTCTCCTGAACTGCTGGGATTACAGGCATGAGCTATTGTACCCAACTTGTACATATTAATGCTTTAAATTTTTTTTAAAATTTTTTAGTTGTAGTTGGATGGAATACCTTTACTTTATTTATTTATTTATTTATTTTTATGTGGTGCTGAGGATCAAACCCAGGGCCTTGCATGTGCTAGGTGAGCATTCTACCGCTGAGCCACAACCCCAACCCTGTACATATTAATTTTTTAATTCTTATAGATGTTAAAAATTTCCATGGTATTTTACTATTTATTTATTTTTGTGGTAGTAGGGATGGAACCTAGGACGTTATACATGCTAGGCAAGTTCTCTACTGCTGAGCTGAGCTGAGCTATATCCATAGCTCTTTTTCTTCTTCTTTTTTTTTTTTTTTTTTGAGAGTCTTGCTAAATTTCTAGATTTGTCTTGAGCTTGTGATCCTCCTGCCTCAGCCTCCTGAGTAGCAGGGATTACAATGCATGCCTACCTTTTAATTTTAAAATATTAATAAACTTTATTTTTTAAAGCAATTGAGGCATAGATAAATGTATGACATGAATCCTCCATTGTAGTATCACATAGAGTAGTTCTGCTACTATAAAGTCCTCTGTGCTCTGTTCCTACAACCTCTGGCCACTACTAATCTTTTACTATCTCCACAGTTTTATCTTTTCTAGAATGTCCTATAGTTGGAATTACACAGTATGTAATCAGATGCCCAGATTTACAATTAGCTTCTGTCATTTAGTAATAGGCATATGAATTTCCTCCATGATATTTGTTTTTAAACATTTTAAAAATGTTCATAATTATTATACATGAGTGGGATTCAGCATGCCATGTTCAAATATGCACATAATTTGATCAATTTCATTCCCTGGTCCTCCATGATATTTTCATGGCTTGACAGCTCATTTTTTCTTAGTGCTGAATAGTATATTCCATTATCTGGGTGTTCCACAGTTAGTCAATTAACCTACTAATAGATATTTTGGTTGCTTCCATATTTTATGAATTATGAATAAAGCTGTTATGAACTTCCACGTGTAGTTTTCTTTGTGGACATAAGTGTTCAATACATTTGAGAAAATACCAAGGAATGTGATTGCTGGATAATATGGGAAGAATAAGTTCAGTTCTGCAAGAAATAGCCTAATTTCTTCCAAAAGTGGCTGTAACATTTTGCATTCCTACTAGCAATGAATTAATTTCTGTTGTTCCACATCCTCTACAACAGTTGATGTTGTCAGGGTTTTAGATTTTGGTCATTCTAATAGATATGTGCTAGAATCTCCTTATTTCAACTTGCAATTCCCTAATGAAGTTTACATGCCCACTTGTCATTTGTGTATCTTCTTTTGTGAGTTTTTAATAATTTTTTGGCTTACTATTTAACTGGGATTTGTTTTCTTACTATCAAGTTTAGCTCTTTATATGCTTTGGATAATAATCTTTTATCAGATGGGTCTTTTGCAAATATTTTCTCCTAGTCTACAGCTTGTTTTTATGGTTTCTTGACATTATCTTTCACAGGGCAGAGTTTTAAATTTTTTTTTAGTTGTAGTTGGACACAATACCTTTATTTTATTTATTATTTTTATGTGCATAGAACCCAGCACCTCAGGGCTGGGGATGTGGCTCAACTGAGAACTAAAAAAAAAAAATAAATAAATATTAAAAATAAAATTCTCTTCTCTCTCTTTCTCTCTATCTTAAAAAAAAAAAAAAAAAAAAAAAGAACCCAGCACCTCACGCACCTCACACATGCTAGGCAAGCGCTCTACTGCTGATCCACAACCCCAGCTGTGTTACACACCTGTAATCCTTGCTACTCAGGAGGCTGAGGCAGGAGGATCAGAAGCTCAAGACAAACCTAGAAATTTAGCAAGACTCTCAAAAAAAAAAAAAAAAGAAGTTTTTAATTTTAATGAAGTTAAGCTTTGTCAATTGTTTCTTTGATATTATATCTAAAGAAGATATTATCACATTCAAGGTCATTTAGGTATTATTCTTTGTTATCTTCTAGGAGTTTAACATTTTTGTTGTTTACATTTAGGTATCCTTCTTTCTTTCTTTTTTTTTAAATTGTGGATGGACACTATGCCTTTATTTTTAAAATTTTTTAATATTTTTAGTTGTAGATGGACACAATACCTTTATTTTATTTAGTTTTTTTATTTGGTGCTGGGGATCAAACTAAGTGCCTCACTCACACATGAGGGCAAGTACTCCACCACTAAGCTACAACCCCAGCCTCTACATTTAGGTTTCTGATCCACCTTGAGATCATGTTTTGTGAAGTCAATAGGGTCTGTGCCTAGATTTACTCTTTGCATGTAGGCATCTAATGGTTCCAGTATCATTTGTTGAAGACTATTGGCTCTGTACTACATTTGCTCTTTGCTAAAGATCAGTTGACCACTGTGTGAGTCTATTTCTGGGCTTTCTATTCTGTTCCACTGATTTATATGTCTGCCCTTTCACTAATACCACACTATCTCTATTACTGTAGCCTTGTAGTAAGTCTTGAGTTAGGCTATCAGTTCTCCAACTTTGTTAGTCTCCTCAGTGATGAGTTGGCTATTCTGGATCTTTCGCCTTTCCATACAACTTTGGTTTGTCAATATTCACAAAATAACTTGCTGGGATTTTTATTTAGATTGCATTGACTATACAGATAAGGTTGGGAGAACTGGCATCTTGACAATATCAAGGTGTTCTATCCATGAAAACAAAACAACTTACTATTTATACGGTTCTTTGAAATATTTCATCAGAGTATTGTAGTCTTCCTTACATAGATCTTTTACTTATTTTTAAATTTAAAGATAAGTATTTTGTTTTGAGGGTGCTAATATAAGTGGTAAATGTGTTTTTTATTTCAAATTGCACTTTTCATTGCTGGTATACAGGAAAGTAACTGACTCTTGCATATTTAATCTTGTATCCTGCATCCTAACTCACTCATTCTCTAGGAGGATTTTATTTTATTTATTTATTTTTATTTGTGACACTGGTGGTTTAACTCAGGGCTTCACATACACTAGGCAAGTATTGTACCACAGAGCTATAGCTCCAGGCCCAAGATATTTTTAATATTTAAAATTTATAATTTAAGATAGAAATAAATGAAACCCCAGGAAAAAACCTCTCACTATTTGGGAATAATGACTGCTAAATGCTCTCTGAAGACCATGTAATATGTTCACTATTATGATAAAAATGCAAAGAACTACTGACTGGAAGACTTAAAATAATAATTTTTTTTTTAAAGGAAGAATCTCTTCCTTATCATTACTTCTCAATCATGTGACTGGGAACAAGTAGCTTTGATGGAGTGGATAGTCCAAGAACATTCCTGTAGAACTATTCATACTTACAGTTACTCAAGTTATTCTAGGGGAGAAAGTGACATTTTGAAGACATAATAGTTCACATTAATACTTTTTTAGAAGGCTATGGAGGGAGAGAATGCCATCAGTCACACCCAGGGTGTAGTAAGAATGTGACATTCTCAAAAGTTTGGGAATCATTTTTGTCACAAAGCATGTATTTACCTGCACATATGAAAACATGAAATTCCTCAGAATATCGCAGCAAAAAAGTTAAACCAATTTTCTGTGATGAATTTATAATCCTGATAAGCAGCTGATACTCATAACCAGGTTTTTGTTAGGTCTTTATGCATTAAGTAATGTGTAAAAATACCTTTGTTTGGGAGGAATCTGTAGGTGCTCAAAGAATAATTTGCCCTGGGAATTTATGCTCATCACAACCTCTTTTTCAGATACCAAGTCTATCTTGAATGGGTTTTCTGTGATATGACACTTCAGATCTCCTTTTCCATCTTCCAATATCAGACTGCCTTTATCCCCTGAGCATGAAATCAGCCTAGAAAACAGAGCAGGAAAGGAAAATAAATTGCTATAGGTTTACGTGGTTCTATGTGACTTGTAATTCAAAGTAATTAATTAGTAAATCAATCTTAATGAATATAGCATAGATAGGACAGTGGAAAACCATTGTTGAGAGCATGGGCTTTGGTGTCAAGAGAGCTTATATTGAACATAACTTTACCATATTACTTTATAACGTTAGATAATGAAGTTACCCAACATTTCTATATCTCAGTTTTCTTATTTGTAAAGTTCAGATAAAAGTTGCAACCAAAATAGTTTTTTGGACAGAATTAAGTAAGACCATGCATAGTACCTGACACAGAAACATTCAAGTGTTAACTGTCATCATCAGTATTACTTTTGTGTGTAAAGTCTAGTAACACTTCAGAATTTAAACATTATTTTCCTTTCTCATTTCCACCATATATTCAGAAATTAAGGAGTCTACAGGAAATGGACCAGGTCAATTTTTATTTATCTACTTATTACTTACTACATATTACTTTTATTTATTTACTTATTATTATACCTCATCAGCCTCCAATTCGATAGGTAGACTCTTAAGATGTTTTGGAGCCTAAGGATATAAGCTCAGAGCCAGCACTTAAAATCCCTCTCAGTCCTAGATTTCTCCCTTTTTGTAGTGCACATTCACCCTGGTAAACAATCACAGGATCTTTTAGGGAATGATGATATGGGACAGTTTATGTTCTTACTATGTCCTTTCAGTCATTTTCCATGGATTCTAGGACTCCCTTTCACGTAGATGCTTGGGACCTGGAAACCAATTGTCTGGAGTGGTTGAGAGGCTGTCTCACTGCTCATTAAGCAGGACTCTAGTCCATCTGTCTTAGACTAATGGACCCCAGGATAAATTGTTAACTACCCTGAGGGTTAAAATGTTTTGTGTACTATGTGAGCCTTACTGCATATTATGAAATTATGTCCACTTTGTCTCTCACAATTAAATGCTGCTACCTTGCCTCTATCACCTTGAATCTTTTATCATTGCCACTGCAGAGAGACCATTTTAATGGCATCAATTCCCACCATTATCTCCAGTCTGCAAAAGAAAAAAATTCATTGCATTGCTTTCCAACTGTTCCTTTGCTAATGTATTTCTCAATGAAGGGGTATCTTCTGGATTCTCTTGCAGAAAGAATGAGGGGCTAGGTGAGCTGGTTTTATGTGACAAATCCACTTGAACATCTTTATTTCCCTAAGTCTATGAATCATTTCTTCTTTACTGTGCTTTGGAATTTTTGGATCTCAGTTTAATCAGCAGAATCCATAGCTGAGTTTAGTACAAAGTTAATCAACCAAGCAAACTACCTGAACCACTCTCAGCTGTCCCATTTAGATATCAAATCTATATTCTCTGGTACATGTACCTGTGTCAATAAATTTAACCTGATATAAAATAAGTTTCTTTTCTTCTTGTCTAGAAATCCCCCAGAAATAATTTCCACACATTTCCCAGGTTTTTGTCATCATAAATTCTTATAATTCTGTAAGCATGCAAGCCTTCTCCTCCTAAGTTTGAATGTAATATGCTCAAATAAATTGGGATCTGACTGTGACGATGAGTCTGGAGGGAATCAAGGATGGTAAGGGTAAAACAAGGAACACTGAAATCCCTTTTCAAGGTTTATCTTAGATGAGGTCAGGGTCAAGCAAGTCAGGATCAACCTTATTGGATATAGCAAGAAGAGCCATTTCTTCAAGAATGGGAAGCTCAGTGGAGTTCTGAAGTTCAGGTATTTAGGTTTATGAAACTCTTGCAAATGTTGCCATTAAATTTTAACAGGTCCTTCTTCTTCCCAGTTAACTCCCTAAGTTCACAGATGTGAGGAAGTTGTGAATTCAACTTTGGTTCTCATTCAATAGCTTTAGTATCGAACTCTGTATGTGATTTTCAGCTACAAGGACCCTGCAGCTACAAGAGATGATAGAATTTCAGGATAGTTCTCTGAAAAAATCATGAGTTAAGAATTTAAAGTCCTAAGACTGTTTTCTTTCATTAAGCTCTTCAGGGAAGCTAATAGCAGCTAGGCTACCACAGAGTTTAGTGCTACGGTTCTACCACATGGTCTGCTTTCAATAGGTGTTTTATTTCAGAAGACTACCAGTAGTAATTTAAATAACTTTGAGAATGCCATGGTTTATTACTACTTATATTAGTTTGCTATGCATCCAAAACAAAATATCACAGGGTGGCTACATGCTTAAACAATAGAAATTTATTTTCTCATAGTTCTGGAAGCTGGAATTCCAAGACCAAGGTGTTGGAAGGTTTGGTTTCTATACCCTCCTACCACTGTGTACTGGGAATTAAATCTAGGGAAACTCTACCCCTGAACTACATTTCTAGCCCTTTTTATTTTGAGATAGGGTCTCACTAAGTTGTCCAGGCTGGCATTAAACTTCTTATCTTTCTGACTCAGCCTTCCGAGTCATTGGGATTACAGGTATGTGCTATTGCACTTGGCCAGGTGTGGTTTCTTGTAAGGCCTATTCCTTAGGCTTGCCGAACCTTATTTCTGAGTCCTCATATGAGTGTTCCTGTGTGTGTGTGTGTGCCCTATTCTCCTTTTCTTCTAAGGACACCAGTCATAATTGGTGAGGCCCAACCTAACGTCCTCATTTTAACTTAATCACCTCTTTAAAGGCCCATCACAAATACAGTTACATTTTGAGGTATTAGGAGTTAGGGGTTCAAAAAATCAATTTTTGGGGAAGACACAATTCAGTTCATACATTAGTATTCCATCACCTAATGGTAACCAGGTCCTCATTGCCTTCAAATCTAACTAGATCAAAAGCCAAATGCATATTCCCATTCTTGAGGTTCTGTTGCCTATACCCACTTCGGATAGCAACTACTTTATTAACAAGGGATCAACTGGTAATAATAGGAACAACTCTGGCAGAAAATAAATGACTTAATAGTGGAAACTCTTTGCTTACATCATGGGAAGGTTTCAGGTTACAGGTTTCAGACTATACATCTAGTAATGACCCCTAGAAACAATACTGTATTACTGTATGGCCAATGGAACTTCTATCTCAGCTTCATATTTTGAAGCCCTAACTCCTAGTACTTCAGTGTGTGATTGTATTTGGAGATAGGACCTTTAAAGAAGTAATTAAGTGAAAATCAAAATTAAAGTCCTATCGCATGAAGTCATTATGAAGTCTATTATGACTAGTGTCCTTATGAGAAGAGATTAGAGGACACAGAAGCATGCATGCATGTGCACGCAGAGACACTCACAGACACACACAGAAACACAAACACACACACACGGACAGTTATGTGAGGACACAGCAAGAAAGTAGACATGCTTCTTGTAAGGCCTAGGAGATAGGCTTTTAAAGAAACCAAGCCTGCTAACACCTTGATCTTGGCTTTCTAAACATCAGAACTATGATAAAATAAATGGAACTTCTATCTTAGGAAGTTGGATAATCAGAAATCACTGTGGCAATTGTTGGGTTCTAGGATCATGCCATATTAGCGCTACTATGGAGATTAGGAACCTGTGATCCTAACTAATGGCCTTAGAGCCAGTCTACAGCTGCCAGATCTACACAAACAAAATGGAGAATTTAGTACTAAAATCAACATTTATGTACATGCATATGATTGGTAGAAACTAAATTATATCAGAAACTCTAGGTACAAGGGAATCTGAGAAATGCAGTTTTTAGGTTTTTAGTTATTGCAATAGTGACAGGCCCTCTAGAAAGAGGTGGGAACAGAAGCAGAACTAATAGTCATATTTACTGCTCAAAATTAATATCATCCAGAATCTAAAACATGGCAAAGATAGTAGAGAAAAAATATTATATTAATTTTACTTGTGAATACAAATATCAAAATGTTAAAGGATCAAAGTAAAGTGAAACCTCCATCATTAAAAAATAACTTACTGTGACCAAATGGTTATATATATGCATAAACTCAATTGTCAAACTGTAAAGGCTTGAAAACAGTCTCCTTTAATCTCCTGTTTTCTTGGCATACAATAGCAGTTCAGTGAATAGATGACTTTAATTTATCATAATAAAATTAGTTTTTCCATATTTCTACTGACCTTTTTAAAATATTTTTTATAAATTTTTTTAGTTGTAGATAGGTACAACACCTTCATTTTATCTATCTATTTATTTATTTAATGTGCTGAGGATTGAACCCAGTGCCTCACACATGCTAGGCAAACACTCTACCACTGAGCTACAACCATAGTCCTCTACTGACCTTTAATAATATTTTTGTGGAAAAAATAATCTACCTAAAACCATGGGAGTGACAGCGAAAATTAAAATATCTGGAATAGTTTTATTTTTCCTTAGTGAAAAAATATGAAAAAACAAAAAACAGAAATCAACTGGGAGAAACAGACTTGAAATCTCACTGTGGGGAAAACTGATAAAGATTTTGCACACATTCGAAAAATGCTTTAGTCCCTAAAGATTTTTTCACCTAGGCACCAATAATTAATTTCTCTCTAAGTAAAATTACATGTTAGACTTCTAAGAATACCTTAATTAAGAGTGAGTCAGTCTAAATTATAAATTACTATTGGTATGGGAGTTTGGCTGGTAAATTAGGTCTCTAGAGCCTTGTTGTTAATCTGAATAAGTAGTTTTCTTTCTACTTGCTCCCAAAGTCTAGCTAATAAACTGTTTTGTTGTGAGAAGGAAAGTGGGGATCAAAGTTCTGTTCCCCTATTAATAGGTGCTGGTAAGTAAAGTGATAAAGAATAAATAGAATGGATAACATAGAAAACTGATAAACTTATCCCCGAATAATTGAATACTAACCCTAAAAATGATTATAGTTTTGAAAAGACAAAATAGGAGGCATATAAAAAAACTCTAGTATTCAAGGTATGATAAAAGAACATGTAGAGGGTGTATCTAAGATATCTTGTTCCTTGGCTTACCTTACAGTCTTTGGCTTGCTGATGAGGACATCAGGAACTTCATACCTGGGTTTCAGTGGAGTTTCTTCATTGATTTTAAGTCTGAAAATGTTTCTCTCTATACCATAAACTTCAGCCAAAAGAGGAACCTGGGAACAAATATATGAGATTAGCTTCAACAGGTTTCCCAATGATATTCTAACTGCTGGTAGCAGGCCTTCCCTGGCCCCCGGGGCCCAGACCCCAATTCCTTGTTCTGCATGTCAAAGTGGCCAGCTCACAAGGCCATGACGCAGACTTGCGGTTCTCCTGTTTATCCGCCTGAGACATATGTGCTCCACGGAACGTCTTGACCTTTATCTAACAATGGCAGATGTCACAACCAAATTTCTCCCCTCTCCCTCCCTCTTTTGGGTAACTTTCCACTTCTGCTGCTTGGGGTATAAAAGGAGATGATGTGAGTAATAAAGTGCTGACTCCGAAGACTCCTGGATGAAGAACCTTGGTGTCCTGTGATTTTTTTTTATTTTATTTTATTTTTTAACCTCGACATCTCTCGCCGGACTCGGTTCCCGTTAGCCGGACGCGGCATCAACAAATTACAATAATTAGAAAGAAAATAATTTGTTTAAATTATTAAAGGGCATATATAGCTATGAAAATTAGAGAAAAATGAAAATAATAGAAAGAACAAGCTCCCAATTTATGTACTTGCTTGGTTACACCTGTGGCAGCACAAGAAGTACCCCTATATGGTTAGGTAAACATATAATTGTCCAAACCAGGACCTTTAGAATAAAGAGTGACTATTAATAATTACATGGATAACAGGGATAAACTAAAAACAGCCTTGGGAAATTGAGATATATAGCCACTATTATCTATGATAAATTACAGATGTGCTAAGAATAACAGTTTGTTAAAACCATAATAATTTGATTCCAACTGAATGAAAGATGAAGGCTAGCAGGCCACAGAATAGAATATAGAGTAAAATGATGATCTCTGTGGTTCTCTAGTATTAGATGAAATGAGGCTTGCTATACTAAAATCAAGTCAGCTCTATGAGACAGAAATGGCCAGATTTAGGTTACAAAATGAGGCATCTAGATCAGAGGACTATTTTAAGACGGTGGCTTTCAATGGGTGTGTCATGCCACACTCGTCTATGGCAAATTCTTCATGAAGTACGATGCTAAGTTTTGGTTACAAATGGATACTTATATTATTATTATTACATCTAAAAAGAGTAACTGGGTTGGCTGTGTGATGTAGTGTGGAAGAGATGATATATGGTGATATAAGCATGGAAAATATCAAGCAGCACCAAAAAAATATGCTTTTCAAGGATCTTTGCCTCTTGAGAATGAATATAGAAGACTAGATAAGGACTGTAAGCAGTGACATGATACTGAAGAGCGACAAACTGGTGCTACAGCTATGGATGCTTTCATAGAGAATTTAAGACAGAACTATGTTGAGTACATTTCCATTGCTCTCTTAAATTCAACTAACATTTATTTAACATTGTGATGATTAAAGTCTTAGGAAGACGGTAATTTAAAAGGGATGAAACAGGTACAAAGTTCACATAAGGCATTTTATAAGCGTAGATAGAAAGACAAGTATAGTGCTAGGGGGAATAAGGAAGGGAACTATTTTTTATTTTATTTTTGGTGCTGAACTCAGGGTCATTTTACCATTGGACCACATCCCCAGCACTTTTTATTTTTTATTTTGAGACAGGGTCTCACTAAGTTGCTTAGGGATGGGCTAATTTGCTAAGACTGGTTTTGAAGTTCGAGTCCCCCAGTAAGGGGTCTATCAATGATGAATGTGAGGTGAGAGGTTCTGGGATGTCTCCAGAAATCCAACTTCTAGAACTTATATTAAAATAAGTTCTAGAAGTTGGATTTCTGGAAGAGGAGGTATTTCAGCAGGGTTTTTGGAGATTACTACAATTTCAGATAGGCAAAAATGGGCAAAATGTGTTACCAAGGGCATATATAGGTTGTCTGCCTATATATGATTAACAAATTGTATCTAGTTGTGTACTCAGAATCCTATTTTTAGTAAAATATATTTCTTAAAAAAATAACTAACCAAATAAGCAATTTTTAAATCAGCGTTAAAGCTCCATTTTAAAATTTTAAAAACTTAACTGAGCAATATTCCCCAATAGGGTGGCTCTCTTCAAAGTCAATATTCAGATCCATTCTTTTTATTTTGTTTTTGGTATTGGGGATTGATTGGATGCTAAGCAGGTGTTCTACCACTGAGTTATCCCCCTAGCTCCAAGATTCATTATATCTCTTTCACCAATACAGGTTTCATGTTCTAGCACATTATATTCTTAGATGTTAGTATGTACTTAACTGCTATAATCTGGTTAATGCTCTATTACCTGTTGGTTTAGTTTTTTGTTTCCCTAATATCAATATACTCCAAGAAATCAAATAAATAAAGCTACTTGGGTTAAAGACAGTGGAAGTAGCCCAGAACTCCTAGCTTAGAGCCCTCTCTCCTTTCTGCGTTGAGCTCTTAGATACTTCCAGGGAAACCCCAGGACTCTGTAGATGACAGTTTTAAAGCCACAGCCTTCTTAACTGCACTACTGCTCAATCTTTTCCTCAAAACTTTGCTCTTTCAAAAAGTCTAGATGTGAATGTTACATTATTTAATTTGTTTTAAGAATTTCTAGATATTCTGTTCTTACTTGTTAGGGACCTATTTAGATATTTATGAACAAAAAAAAAAAAAATATATATATATATATATATATAAATGAATTACAAATACTTACTTCCTAGTAGTGATGGTTGGGAATATCAATGAAAATTATATTAAAATAAGTTCTAGAAGTTGGGTTGCTTAAATTGAGAAGTTAATATTAATCCTAAGATAATAAAAGCAGTTACTCTCAAATTGCATGCAGATAAACAAATATACACCTAAAAATTTTAATGGGGTTTTGCTTCCTTAAAAATATTTAAGATGTATAACATCCACATATGCAGAGAATCTGAGATAAACCCTCAGAGAAGGACATTTTTTGGAGGCTCTTTCTGATATTACAAGTCTCTGATTGGTTTTTCATATACCCTTACTCAGAGGCCCATTTTTCAGTCAGGGTAAAAGAGTACACATGGCTTATCTTATTTCTCCTACACTAAATAAAACAAAACCTATTAGCCTATCATCCATAAGTCTAATTGTTTTTAATGTCCACATGAGCAAAAATATGAGACATTTTATAAAAAACATAGTGGTAGAAATAGCTTTGTCTATGTATTCATGCAGAGAATTGACCATAGTTATACTAGAACAACTTTTTTTCACCCATGACTGGGAATCACAACTATTAGAAACTATCATGAAGTTAACAATCCTTGAATACACATTTAAATGGCAGAGTAATGATTTTCCTTTATAATATCCACTATCAACTCCTCCTTGATGGACTGATCTTACTTTTCCTCTGACACCAGGTCTCTACGATATGAAGAACAGATATCCTGGAAGTCTCAAGATGGCGGGCCAGAGGGAGGCAGCATTCTGTGTTGCTCTGTGATCCAGATCTCACCTAGTCAGAATATTTCATCTCTAAGAGTGTTGGAGGACCCCTATACAGCTGCTCTCAGCAGAAATCACCAGTGACTCCATGCAGGGCTTGGGACCTCAGCATTCGAGTAGGACGCTGAATGTTCGTCCAAAGTTCTAGCCCAAGCAAGGCTCAGCAAGCGCCTTAGCAGAACCACCTATCAACACATCTGTAAATCGCCAAGACTTCGCTCTGCTCCCATGCAGGTCACTCAGCTGCTACCTACCCACAGCACACTGCCATCACCCGGCTTCCCCCACCTCTCCAGGCTCCTCCTACCTCACTAGACACTCAGGTGCTGAAAGCAGACCACTGCCATCTTGGCTCAACATTCTTGCCATATCCATATTAGCTGGGGGCAGTTCCCAGATCTCCAGCAGCCAGGTACCAGGTTTCCAACCTTCCCTGCTTCCCTGCGGTAGTAAACCAACACAGTAGATGCCCAACACAGGAGTGCAGTGTGACCAGGGAGCCGCCCAAGGGAGAGTTTCCTCAATTGGGAACATCTAGCGAAGAGGGAGACGGGGCTAAAGTTTGGAGCCTAACAGACCAGGAACTGGGAAATCTCTAGGCAAGAGAAGAAGATAGTTCTGGGAGCTCAAGTCACACGAGCGGTCCCAAAAAGAGACCCGTGAGGTGCAATCTCCCTGCAGGGACTGGCGGGTGGCACTCCCTGTATTCAGGCACCCTTTTCCAGGACTAGTCTTCCTATCCTGGTTACCTTCACCATCTGGAGGGCAGAGACACCAGCTTACAACAGACGACCCCACCTATTGGATGAGAAGCAGGAAAGATATAGATCTCTAAAGCTAGCTACAACCCTGGTTTCTTCCTTCGAGTTTTTTTTTTTTCTCCTACCCCTCTATCCTCTGGCCCTCACATCCCCAACATATGTGAAACCAAGAACTCTGCATGAAATAGAACTTTGAGGACTGATTCATCTGAACAACATCATATAGAGGAGAGGTCTTGGAATCCCTACAAGAGCACTACAAACCTATCGGGTAAAAACAATAACAATATAGACCCACAGAGCTGGAAAGGAAGACACACAAGCAACATGAAGAAAGTGCCCCAAACAGATGAAGACACCACATCATTAGAATCATTGGCAGCCATAGCAGAAGAAATGTCAGAGGAGGAGTTTAGGATGTACATGGTTAAAATGTTCTGTGAACTCAAGGAAAGTATCAGAGAATAAATACAGGCAGTGAAAGATCACTTCGACAAGGAGCTACATAAACAAATACAGGAAGCAAAAGATCACCTCAACAGGGAGAGAGAAGTTCTAAAAACAACAACAACAAAAAACAAAAACAAAAAACAGAAATCTCTGAAATGAAAGAAACAATTAACCAAATTAAAATTTCAAATGAAAGCATCACCAACAGAGTAGACCACTTGGAACATAGGAAATCAGACAATGAAGATAAAATATATAATATTTTTTTTTTAAAGAATTTTTTAATATTTATTTTTTAGTTTTCGGCAGACACAACATCTTTGTATGTGGTGCTGAGGATCGAACCCGGGCCGCATGCATGCCAG